CAATATGTCAATCAATGGAAGTGTAACTGATGTGATACAGCAATCTGTATACGGGGTAAAGTTGGGAGTTCATAACCCGCTTGAATCAAACTGTGAAATATGATGTATTAAGAACTGTGTAAGGTTTTGAACGACCAACAATAAAAAAATAAATAAATTAAAAAATAAATAAATAAATAAATTTTAAAAGAAAAAAAAAGAAACAAGTTAATAAAAGGGAAAGGATTACACAAGGCTGCGAATACTTGGAGGTGAAGGTCACTAGGGGCTATCTTAAAGGTGCCCACCAGAAAAGGTAAAAGGGGATTGAAACGCTAAGCCAGCAATTTTTAATGGTATTCAGAGTAAGTTGTACTAAACTGACGATTGAACAAAATCCTGATGGAGGTATCAGTCATGTAAATATTTATGGAAAATGTTTCAGGCAGAGGAAACAGAGAGAAGGAAAAACCCTCAAGTGGAAGTAACTTTGTCATGTCAAAGAAACAAGAAGGAGGCCAGCCACCATGGTGACGGGAGTAGAAAAAGCAGAGGAGCTGGGGTGAAGGTGGGAGGTCAGGGAATGGGGGGACAAGGGCCATGTAGGGTCTTATGGGCCTACATAGCTTTTTACTGTGAGCAACGGGGACGTATTACAAGGTATTGTGCAGAGGATGGACATAATTTGATCTGCTTCAAATGATCACTTGGGCTGCTCACTTGAAAACAAACTATAAGAGGGCACAGGCTGAAGCAAGACTCTGCCTTCTCGGTATAAAAAAAGAAGGCAATGTCTCAGATTAAGGTAAGTTTGGTGGAGAGGTGAGAAATGACAAGATTCTAGATATATTTCAAAGGAAAGCCTGCAAGATTTCATGATGACTTGGATTGGATTAAAAATGAAAACAGGTGCATTGGATGGTTATAGTCAAAACCACTGAAGGATGAAGTTACCATCAAAAAAGATTGGGAAGGCTAAGATGAATAAGCTATCATTTTTTTTCTTTGTATTTTTTCTGTTTAGAGATTTATGACAGTAAAGTGTATTTTTGACATATTATACATACATGGAGTATAACTTATTCTAATCAGGATCCCAATCTTGGGGTTGTACATGTTATGGAGTTTTGCTAGTCATGTATTTATATATGAACACAGGAAAGTCATATTCAATTCCTCTACTGTCCTTCCTGTTCCCATTCCTCCTCTCTTCCATTCATTCCCCTTTGTCTAATCCTATTCAACCCCCACCCCCCGCCATTCCTTATTGCATGTTAGTATCCACATATCAGAGGGAACATTCAGCCTTTGGTTTTGAGGGACTGGCTTAAGCCAGTCACTCAGTGTGATAGTCTCCAGTTCCATCCATTTACCAACAAATGCCATAATTTTATTCTTCTTTATGGCTGAGTAATATTCCATTGTGTATATATATCACATTTTCTTTATCCATTCATCTTTTGAAGGGCACCTAGGTTGGTTCTACAGTTTAGCTATAGAATTCAGCTCCTACAAACATTGATGTGGCTGCATCCCTGTAAGATGCTGATTTTAAAACTTTGGAGTATAGACTGAGTAGTGGTATAACTGGGTTAAATGGTGGTTCCATTCCAAGTTTTCTGAGGAATCTCTATACTGATTTCTAGAATGGTTGCACCAATTTGCAGTCCCACCAGCAGCGTATGAATATACCTTTTTCCCCACATCTTCACCAACATTTTTTATTTATATTCTTGATAACTGCCATTCTGACTGAAGTGAGATGAAATCTCAGTGTAGTTTTAATTTGCATTTCTCTAATTGCTAGTGATGTTGAACATTTTTTCATATATTTGTTGACCATTCATATTTTTTCTTCTGTGAAGTGCCTGTTCAGTTCCTTTGCCCATTTATTGGATGGGTTATTTGGGGTTTTGTTTTTTTTTTTTTTGGTGTTAAGTTATTTGAGTTCTTTATATATTCTGGAGATTAATGCTCTATCTGAGTTACAGGTTGTAAAGATTTTCTCCCATTTTGTAGCCTCTATATTCACATTATTGTTTCCTTTGCTGTGAAGAAGTTTTTTAGTTTGATAAGATCCCATCTATTGATTCTTGATTTTACTTCTTATGCTCTCCGAGTCTAGTTGAGAAAGTCAGTTCTTAAGCTGACATGACGGAAAGTTGGGCCTACATTTACTTCTAGTAGGTGCAGTGTCTCTGGTCTAATGTTTACATCCTTGATCTATTTTGAGTTGAGTTTTGTGAATCGGTTTTAGAATTGAAGATTCTAGAGATGATGAATTTGAGTTTTCCAATGGGATTGTGGCAGGCGAATGTGTGGTTCAGAAATATAGAAAACAGAGCTCTGGCAATTAAACTGACTCTGCATTCCATCACCCTGGTGCTTCGTTGAAACATCACTCTGCTGAGCAAAAAATTGTATTGTAGCAAAAAATTGCAGTAGGACTATCTCCCTTTCAGATTAATGGATTCCGGGATACTTTCAGTGACTCCCAATTAATAATCCATGCCCACCGTTACACCAAAGGAAATAGAATTAACTGTTGAAAATTACAGTATATTTTTGGAGAAGTGATTTTCCTACCTTTCTCTTTTGTTTGTGTTGATTTGATTTTCTTGGGAAAAGTGAATAAGAACATCTATTTATGGGACTGTTTCAATGCCCAGGGAGTAGCTTGGGGGCTTCAGTTCTCAGATTCTTGCTTTAAATCTTAATGAAACCTTATTTTACTTATAAACAAGCTTGAGTTGGCAAAAAAATTGAGTACATTTGCATAGTACATTGGTTGTTGCCTTCAAGATAGCATATGTTACAAAGTTAGGCAGATTGAATTCCATGTTTTTGAGGAAATTCACACCTATTTATTATTGCATTTAAAAATGAGAAGGGATTCCTGGAAAGGCATGTAGTAATATATTAATAACACATATGTTTGCATTGAAAACAATAAAGACAGATAAGCAACATTGAGTAAGTTTATTTTGATTGATAAATTTGACAACTAAGGACTGACTTTCCAATCAGGTTATGATGGCAGGCATTACCCAAAATGGAATGAACTGAATCTATGCTTCCAAGTTTTTGGTGCATATATATTTAAAGCACATAAGATTTTTAAAGTGTTTTTCAAAAATAGAGAGGCAGATTATGCATTAATACTAACAAAATTTAGATTTTTCCAGAATTTTGAATTTATTATAGTAAACAGGATGCCTCCGTGTGAGAGACTAACTGGTACCATTAACCTTCATGAGTCCTGGTAAGGCCTTCTCGGTATTATTCCAAGAAATTATAAATATGAATATCTCAAGACCTGCCAAGGATCTGAGATTTACCTTACTTACCAGCAAATAAGCCAACCTGTAACTGATTTATGAATGCTGGCACAAGGTGTGAAACTCCTGGGTCCAAGATTACAACCTTTATTCTTGTCAGCACAGCAGGACACACAAGCAGGATGTTGGTTTGTATCCATTTCCCATGTCCCCTGTGTCCCAAGAGGGTAACAAGGTCGACTTAAATGGATGCTATGCACACCGTGGGTTTGTATCCCACTGCACTGGAGGAATTCTCCACTTTTATAGCAAACAAAAGTTAGTCTCCTGTCCTTCATCAGAAAGAGATGTAACCTTATCTCAAGTTGCTCAGAGAAATGGTCCTGGTAAAAAAGGAGAGAGCCTTCCATTCTTGGCCTGCTCAGCAAGGATGAGCAGGGACAGTCAGGCTCATAGTGGATCACGTCTCCCAACAAAACACTCTCAGAATTGGGTAACAAGTTCATCTGCAAGTTGTCCATTTCCTTCTCTTAACTGTTAACAAAATTGAAGAACCCCATCAAGTCATCAGTGATGGATCATAAATAATAATTTTGATAATAGAATACTATATGATTTTCTTTTTCTTTCTTTTTTTTTTTTTTTTTTTGGTGCTGGGGATTGAATTCAGGAGCACTCAGCCACTAAGCCACATCCCCAGCCCTATTTTGTATTTTATTTAGAGGCAGGGTCTCACTTAGTTGCTTAGTGCCTCAGTTTTGCTGAGGCTGGCTTTGAACTCGTGATCCTCCTAGCACAGCCTCTTGAGCCTCTGGGATTACAGGTGAGTGCCACCACACCCTACTACTATATGATTTTTGACAAAAAAAAAAAAAAAAAACCTCAGATGTGTTTCAAAGTGAAAATATCACAAAAAAAAATTCCCTCTATTCCCACCTCCTTGTCCATGTGAAAAGGTGCTCTCAGTAATGACATCCATAAATGGAACAAAAGAATAGAGTTGTTGCTGAACTAATGGTGATACCCACTAGTAATATCCATCTCTACATGTATGAATGCATGGAAAAATAAGAGCCATATCGATTTCATGAGAGACATATTTCCAAAAAGTGAATTTTTACCTTTAATAATTATTTCTAGCAATGCATATATGCTATTTTGAGTAATTATGTACTAGTGATAATCATAATGATAATTCAAAGCAAAAGGAAAATTTTAATACTTAGCTTTAGAATCACAGGAAATTTTTTAAAATTGTCTTTAACTAGAAAGTCTTATTCTGAAGTTTGATTTTGATATTTATATATGCATTGGTCATGGAGAATTCTGATAGGGTAGTAAATACAATGTTGAGTAAATTTTGTTATGGGAAATAAAATGGTAAATTAACGCAGGTTCCAGAAGAAAAAGAACTGTTGCAAATTTCCAACCATTCAGAGGAGTTGCTTTTGTCTTTCTTAAATGAGAGGGGTGGGTGTCAAATTGCTGTTGATTGGATTTCATTAAATAGATTTTGGAAAATGATATCATGTTTGAACTACAAATGTCATTATTTACAATACACCAGAAAGTAAGTCCTTTGAATAATCATAATTCAAAATCCAGATAGAAACTTTAAAATGTGTTAAGGATATGTCATTTTTAAAAAATTTATTTGAGCAGTATGCAAATAAGACCTAGGTTGTGTTTTTAAAAATAATAATAATAATAATCTGAATGCAGAAAGCTGCAGTAAAACATGAAAGACAAAGGAAGCAAGGTCTGTCCTGGAGGTTAGCACCTGTAAGAGCATACAGCAGTGTTCTGAGGACTAAGTAGAAAAAAAAAATGTGTGAAAGTGTGGAGTTTTCTCAAGTAGGGACCTAACAGAACTTAGGTTCCCTTACATTTAAATAAATCCTTTTTCTGAATTGAAATCACATGTCCTCTTGTTATTTAGGAGTACATCACATACTGGTAATCAATTTTCATTCGCTATCTCTTCATAGGCTAAAGAGAGTTAAGTCACCTTTCTAGCTTCTTTAAAATTCCTAGCAAGCCTCAAACATGAAGAAGAAAAGAAGGTTGGGAGGAGAATGAAGAAGGAAAGGAGAAAGAGAGGGAGAAAAGAAAAAAAGAAGGTACATTTTTGTCTTCCAAAACCAAGCAACTGGATTAACTTTTGTGCTGATTTAAGCACACATTGAACCACCTGAATTTTTCTATCATTTACACCTGTTTCTGAAATAGCTTCAACTCTTTTGCCTTTGACCCACTTTGATTCAGTTCTATGTGGAATCTGTGCTCTTGGACTCTTCCACCACAGAGCTGGCCATAGAAGCAGCTGGGAAAACCTCCCAGGGAACAGCTGGTGTTTAAGGCCCCACAACTCGGCCATCATCCAGGGTGAATATTGGTTTTCTGCAACAGTGGGGTTTTGGAGACACAGTTTAATAAAATACACTTCGTATTTGTGTTGGATTATAGTACTGACAGGTAACTTTCACAATCATCTCATTTGCTCTTGCTGGGTCATGAGAACAAATCTGGTGGGCTCTGTAACCCTGTGAATCACATCTGCAGAGTTCTGACCCTAATTCTGATGCCTGTTCCAAGAGTGACATTGGAACACACACAGACACATGCATACTTTAACTCTCAAGACCCCATCTCCTTACTGCAAAATAAGAAGCCTGAATTAGATCCCCCACCCCTTTAAAATTTACAGTTATGGGCAAATGCCTGAAACTCCAGGTTCAACTTTATCTACTGCGAAATTTACCTTTGTAAAACACTAATGGGCCTCTTCTCTATAACACACCAAGTACTGCTTATCATGTAAAAAAGGTAACTAAAACAAACAAAAAAAAACAAAACACAAACTAACTAAGCTACTTTCTTTAATTCTCCCAAGAAACCTAATACAAAAGGGCATGCATTATTACCTTAGGATTTTCAAGAAGACATTATGGTGAAAATCAGTAATTGCTGGCAATCATACAGTAAGTAGCAACTCCCACTTAGATTTCAGAAAACTAAAACGTCTTAGGGGAGTTGATTTTTTTTTATAGGTGTATAGCTCCACAATAACTGGCAATCGGCAACTGGTTGGTTGGAAAGAGGATAATCAACTAGGGGATATGATGCTTCATTTGATCTCTGATCTATGCAAGCCAGTCCGTACAGCCATACTTGCCTCTAGTCAGATCTGAAATTTCAAGAACATTTTCAAATTGCTAATTCCTTAAGGGCAGAGATGATGTCTGACTTCAAGCCTTCACCTCCAAGTGGCTCTGCCCTGTGTGTGCCCTGCACATCCTTGTTGATTTGTTTCTCCCATACCAGGGTGGGTCTCTCCTTGACAACTGGGGACCTCATTTAGCCAAGCAGCTGCCCACTGGCGTCTAATGCCTGCAATATGTCGTTCTGGCAGCATCTCAAAGGATTTATTATTATCATCCCATGATTTCATTATTATTATTATCTCCCTTATGAAATTCAGTACCCAAGCCCACTACAAAGCATTTGAACAATTTTTAACAAGGAACAGTGTATTTTCTGCACACACACACACAACCCTACCCAGTTTCTACTTAATGTAGAAGGGCCCCATGAGGAGAATAAGTCACCCTAAGTAGTCCCTCACACTATCTGCTGACCTTGGGAAGGAGAAGGCTCTTTGAAGTCTCTCTACTGAACAGGAGGCAATCGTAATGGGATTGAAATGCACTGACCTAGGAGTCAGGGGACACCAGTTCTGTGACCAAGAGAGAGTTTCCTTGCTAACCTGGGTCTTGGTTTCCTCATATACAAATAAGGAACTCACTGAGATGGTCCTGAAGAAGAATGAGCCAGTCTTGTTCAGACTGGGTTTAATTTTACCCTTTTCCTGGCTTCTAGAGATTTCCACAGAGAAAAGTGATTTTTTAGGAATATCTTAGGAAGAGACCCTCCCTTCCTTTTCTACTGCACTTATCAACTTGGGTCATTAAAAACCAACAAGACTTTAGGGAGAATAAAAGTGGCTTTGTATCAGGAAAGTTGGGATTCCTGACCCAAGACATGCTGAGGCACAAAACAGAATTAATTCTGAGTCCTAAGAGTGGGTTTGATCCCATCTCTTTCTGGAACTCGCCATGAGGTTCTCAGCAAGTCCTCTCACTGCTGGGTACCCAATTCCTCATCTTCCAACAGCTCTCTGACTTACCCACCCTGAATAGTCCTGGAGGCTTATGTTGAGCTTGAAAATGTAAAGTACAATCCTACAGACAGATAAATCATTAAATTAAGATCAGTTCCCTCTTTTGAACCCAGGAAAAGCTCAGAAGAATTAAAAGATTGACTCAACAATTAAAAGATGCCATCCTCCTACCAGTAGGGTGGATGCTGGCTTTCTATGTTGAGGAATTTTAGCAAACCCCCTTTGATCCAGTTTGATCTTAACAAGCTCTTTTTGGGAGCCCACTGTGTCCCTTACATTGTGCTGGAAATGAGAAGAGAAATCAAAATAAGTCAAAATTTGACCTCCAGCAGTTTAGAGTGTTATAAATTCTAGAACTTATTTTAAAACTTCTGAGACAAATTTTAAGACCAGTGTAAAAACATGTGAAGTATATGTGGAGCCACGGCAAATGCATCCAGCCAAGTTGGGATCTAAGCCTACTGTCAGGGGAAACGTGGAGGTGACCCCAGCTTAGGCCAGGCTTTGCAAAGGCGATCAGGTATCGGTGGGGCCAACCGTTTTCTCCATTCATAACAGCAGGTCTTCAATAAAAAATGCTAGGAACAAAAGATGAAAAAATTTATTTTAACACTTTAGGCATTGGAGAAAAATCTCTATTTCTCTCCCAATATTCAATAGCAACAAATATCAGGCTATGGTTATCCAGGTAATAATTATCAAGGAATCCAAATCCCTATTCACTTAAGTTGTAGAAGTTATATCAACATTAGAGCATTACTTTTTAAATGAAGTTACCAGTAATTGTGTGCTCTCAAGGAACTCTTTCACAATTGAGATCTCCTAGCATAAGCATATTTTCACAAAATGGCTACTTTGTTGTCCAGACTGAACCCCTTCGACAAGCACTGGGTCTAGCCACAAGCTGATCAGTATTTCCTGAGCAAACACTGTGCATTCCTGCCTCGATGCTTTTGCCAAGTGTTGCTCTACCTGAGAGAACTCTTCCCACCCCTCCCTATTGTATATATGTCCTCCCTACCCTCAGAACCCAGCTGAAACCAAGCCTCCTTCATGAAAATTTTACTACCTGGTCTACCACCTTTCATGTCTGCTTCTGAATATCAGTAGTCCTTAATTTCTGTTCTATCAATTTACAGTTATCATATCTTATTATACATGTATATTCTGCCCCCCACATATATATTTATATATATTTCTCCCCATCCCCAGATTTAGGTTTATCCAAAAGAGTTTGTAAGTCTCTCAAGGACAAGGAACATAATAGACACTTATTTCTATTTCTAGTGTTAATATGGTGCACTGAGATTTGGCAGGAACTCACTAATTATATTATTGAGCATCAAGTCCCAAACTACCTGTTTCCCAACTCTATGACAACCACCTTCCCATTTGAAAAAAAATGGCCAAAATCAGTTCTAAGCAAGCTAAAAACAAAAACTGTTGCTTAAATGGTATGTATTGATACAACTAAAAACCAAAAAAAAAAAGTATTAAAAGATGGGGGTTTATTCATTAAAAAAAAAAAACACATTCCTACACTTTAAAATAATTCATGCATCATGTCAGTATATTCCATAAATAGAAACATTAATATGGATTTGTCTATCTGAAAAAGGATTTAGGAAAGGACATTTCTCTTTGCAATGGGACAGCTGAAGAGGTGTAATTTAACAACTTTCAGAGGCCCGTCACCGCGGTGATTGAGGTGGACAGACGGCATGGACATGACCAAGGACCTTAAAAGACACAAACAGGTGGGAGAGTGTGCTGGGGGTGGGCAGGAGGCCGGAGAGTACATAAAGGAGGAGGCTCGCCCTCAGAGAGCAGACAAGAGAAGGCAGGGAGTGGAACTGAGGAGGAGATCTAAACCCAGGTCCCATCTGGACAGGACACAAGTCAGAGGTAAAGCTGGAACAAATAATAGAATTAAAGAATGCAAGAGAGAGAGAGAGAGAGAGAGAGAGAGGTGGAGAGGGCACAGGTGGGGAAAGGCAGACCATACAGTGAAGAAGGGGAATGCAAATAAAGAAAAGAAGATGGTTTCTGGGTGTGATTAGAAGAGAGATTAAAGAGATAAGAGTGAAAGGAAAGGAGGGAAGGGTAGAAAGGGAATAAGTAAGGAGACAAAATAAGTAATAAGCACTCAAGTGCTGATCTAAATGCTTAGGAAGTCACCAGGCTGTTAGGAGAGCCGGAAGAGCCACAGCCATACCCAAGAGGGGACCATCAGAAAGATAGAAGCAGGCAATTTAAGTAGCTAGCTACTGGGGTTAAAAAAAAAAAAAAAAAAATGAAAAAAAAATAGAAGATAGAAAAGGTGAGAAGCAGGAGAGGGAAAACCCAAAGGAGACACTGGCCCAGAAACCTTTTTAACTTTCTGTAAGAATCTTCAAGGCCCCAAACTAGGCCAAGATTCTGACTGACATTTCTGAGCTCACCAGCTGCTGTTTCCTTGAGAGGATTCTGACAGGAAGGCACAGAAATGCAAGCCAACCCTGCCAGCTCTGGAAATAAATAAATAACAATCCATGTTCTAAACACCTCCATGGGGGCAGAAGCCTGCCGGGAAGGAAGCCCACAGAGGAGGAGGGACCCGCCCGCAACTTTTCCCCAGGTAGGTACTGAGCCATCCCGCATGCTGCTTTCTCCTCTAATCGTCCCCTGGCCATTCCTGTCTTGCCCATCTGTCTTTCTTTCTTTGTGAATTTTTTTGGGAAGCCCTGCAGGTGATCCGCTTCTGTCATCTGAAGCCAGCACGACAGAGTCTATAGGAACAGGTGAAACTCCAAGTCCTGCATCTCAAATGCAGGGGAGGACAGCGAGAATCCAGGTCTATCAGGCAGAGCAGGCAAAAGAGAGATGAATGAGAGAAACGGCCCCCACCTCAGTGTCGTGCATGAGAGTGACTTCTGAGCTAGTGCTGAGGAGGGATGTGCTTTCTGTGCACTGGGGCCAGAGGCAAAGGCTCAGGAGGAGCAGGGTGGGCCTGAGAGATGCAGGGACAATGAAAAGCAGCCTAGGGAAAGACAGTTAACCTAAACAAGGGCTACCAGTGTCAGGAGTGAGTGATGAGAGGTTGACAGCATGCGACATCCAACTTGCAGCTTGCCTTTTGTGTGCTTTTGCAAAATATTTTAAATGTACGCTAATTTTTTTCAAAGCAATGTAAAGGAATTTATTTTCCATATGTCATTTACCTCAAATATTCAATTATCGAAAGAGACTGGGTTTCAGGTAACTTTACAGACCTCCCTACTAAGTCACTGTGAACTGTTAC